GTAGTAGTTAGTAGTGTTAGTAGTAGTAGTAGTAGTAGTAGTAGTAGTAGCCGCCGTCGTACTCGCAATTATCGTCGTGGTCGTAGTAGCAGTAGCAGTAGCAGTAGCAGTAGCGGTAGCGGTAGCAGTAGCAGCAGCAGGAGGAGCAGTAGCAGCAGTAGTAGTCGTAGCCGTAATCGTAATGGTCGTAGTAGTCGTAGTAGTCGTAGCGGCCGTAGAAGTCGTAGTAACCCTGCACCCCAAAACTCTACACCCTAAACCCTTAACCCCTAAATACTAAAGCCTGCATCCCCAAACCCTAAACTCCTAAACCCTAAGACTCAACCCTCTGGGAGGCCATGCTTGCGCAGCTGTCTTCGGAACCAATTCGCGGCCAAGGTTGGCGACAGGATCATCAAAAAGGCCTGGGCTGTGTCGGGCTTGCGGGCGCTTGGGGCTTTCTCGGTTATTGCAGCCTTGTAAACCCTAAACCCTAAACCCTAAATCCTAAACCCTAAATCCTAAACCCTAAACCCTAAACCCCAAACGGGCCCCAAAGAAGGTTTGAGGTTCCGGGCTCTAAGGCCCTGGTCACGCGCTCCCGGCCCGCAGAACCCGAAACTCAAGACACACAGCCGAAACCGCAACGAGATATGTATTTAGATACAAGATTATATGGGCATAGACATAATGATGAAAAAGTATTAATTACATGTAATTGGATTAAAACTGGTAAATATATGAATAAGCAAACAAATAAATAAATAAACAAATATCTATATCTATATATATATATATATGTTCGTCATATGATAAGGATGCCCTTCTTGAGGGCCCTAGGGTGCCATACTAGTTTGGTGACCTAACCACGGGCCCTAAGTGAGAAAACTATCCTTCTGTGCTTCTTAGGGGACCGAAACAGAGCTTACAAACCCCAAACTCTAAACCCAAAACCCTAAACAAAGCCCTGAGGATCTTGCGAGACTGGCACCATCAGGGAAGTCGTCGCTCAGACCTGGCTCAATGCGGTTGAAGCCCATAAGAGGTTTCCTTAAAGGGCTCTGACGGTCTTCCCGTAAAGGGTAGCAGAAGGGCTTGTTTTGAGGGTGCCACAAGGGCTCCTGTATGGGTTGACCTGGGTCTTTTTAGGGCATCCGAGGAAGCTTGCTATCGGGATGAGTCCCTAAACCCTAAACTCTAAACGGGTAGGGTTTGGGTTCCTCGGGCTCAGGGGTACGGGGCTCAGGGCGCTTGGTGACGTTCAGGCCTTATGGTAAAGAGGCTCAGGAATCGTCTCAACACCCCACGTTGTAGTGCTTCTCCCAACCAGGATTTCATAAACAAAGACATTAGGCAAACACAAAACACATTGGGAAGGTGATCCCGATGAGCCGGAATTGCAATCTATTATTTGATCCCTCATGGTACCCTCAAAGGAACCCTTCTGGTACCCTACTGCAAACTCCCTGTCTCCGAAGTCGCAGCATCAGAGACCAGAACCCACAAATCTCAAACCTAATCTGGGTTGCTGCTAAGAAACTTAAATTAAGTTAGTAGAATAAGGAAACCCCTGTATTTGCGATATATCCCCTGTTGCTGTTAAGAAACTTTAATTAAGTTAGTATAATAAGGAAACCCTTTCATTTACGATATATCCCCTGCGAGGTTTCCGGCCAGGTTCTCAGGAGATGCACCCCAATCGCAATTGAGCGTTTTTGGGCAAAGCCTGAGATTGCGACCGTGTACGTTTGTCAGGAAAACCAGCGATTCCGTCCAGACACCCGAACGACATCCCCATTTATGGTAACTCAACTGAGGTTCCTTAACAGCAATCCAGTAATTGGGCGCTCAGGTACAAGCTCGGAAAAAAACCTTGCAACTGCCCTGTGAACACTGTAGAGCAGTAAAGACAGCTCTACACACCCGGTAGACCCCTACTTGTACCCCCCGACATTACAACCTGGTAGGCCCTAAACCCTAAGCCCTAAACCATAACTATAGAGCAGAGCCGAATGACCCCATAACTTCAGAGTAGGGAGCAACAAATGGTAGGCAGTCGAAGCCCTAAACCACCGCAATGCCGCACCGGACCTTCCTCGACCGCCTTGCCACCTTCCACTGTGGAGTTGGATCGGACCTTGCAGCAGAGTGGTGGGCAAACCAGGAAAGCCAATGGCATGTTTGTCTGTTTCAAGTGCTTTTCCAAGTGTCGTAAGGGTCTGCAGAGATATGGTGGTAACGAGGATGTCTATACTGATGTTGATCGTTCCCATCAGCATGATAATCATCACCGTGGTCACCGTGTTTGTGTCGTCAATGTCACTGTCTTCTTCGTCATTGCAGTTAAGACTCCTGACGAAGGAAACAACATACAGACTTGACCCATGCAGCCGAACAGAAGCCCAGTTGTCTGATAGGCCAAACAGGAATTAACCTTCCAATGCTTTAAAGCCGTGCTACATGACATCCCTCGTAATCCTCTAAGTCCATATAAACCCTAAAACCCTAAAGCCCTAAATTGAACCCACAACCCTGAACCCTTAACCATAATTAAGCTCCATATGATATAAACCCTAAAACCTGAGCATCCAAGCGTCAAGAACTTCAATATAGGGGCCTTAATAGTTAGAATAGGGTTTTGGGGTACCCTATACTCTAATACTTACAATGAGGAACCCCCAAAATGATATAGAGGTGATTATTGAGAACCCTATAGTTGGAGCTCTGGGGCCCGTTGACAAAATCACACCAAGGTGTCCCGGGCACCCCGGCAATCCCACCGCGCCGGGCGGCTTTGCGAGGTGCTTTCTTTGCCTGGCTTGGGGTTGTGGGTTTTGGGTTTTGGGGTTTAGGGCTTAGGGAAGTTTGGGGGGGTTGGCTGGTGAGGCTTTGGGATTCAGGGGTCTGAGGTTGGGGCTTTAGGGCTATTGGGTGTAGAGTTTTGGTTTGCAGCTGTGCGAGGGGATATCATGTCACATCAAGGTGCACCAACAATGCCCCAGGAGAAAAGCGATGGATGAGAAGGCACGTGACACGAGTGCCGTTGCGCTAATGATCCGAAGCGACGAACTTGAGATACGGACCCTAAACCCTGAACCCTAAACCCTAAAAGTGCCAGAATAATATGGAAAACGCTGTGGGAGCCCCTGAGCCGTAGAAGGCCCTACCATGCCCACCGAGTAACCTACTACTGCCGGTGGTTGTGAAAACCAGGGTTTAGGGTTTAGGGTTTAGGGTTTTGGGCCCGCTACTACAGCGTGTCGGTAAGACTAGAAATACATAGGGTTCCCCTGAAGGCCGATAAATGACAGCTACTTATATGTAAGTGTGTTCTCAGATCCTCCAGTTTTCGGGTATAGTAATCCTTATAATCGTCGGACCCTTTTCGTAACCATCATTAGTAGCACTGTGTGGTAACTCTTCTAGGAACCCTACATACTTCGCTTTTTGTGTCGTGGTTGAACCAATGAAATATTTCGGATCCTATCAGATAGCCCTAACGAGTTACTGCAATGGAGACTATCCGTAAACTCCAAGCCGTATATTAAAGGAAACTACAGGTGGGTAGCTTAGGGTATATAGGGCTTCTATAAGGCTTCCATAAGGTATATAGACCTTCTATAAGGCTCCTATAACGATAACTACCACCTGAAAATGTCCTAGACTATAGTCTCCATGGTCGTTCCTTATTGTAGCTGTGGTTTTATCAAGCATATCTTTCGGATAACCACAACCAGAAACTACAATGGAGACTATAACTATAAGTAAACCCTAAGCCCTAAACCGGCTCCTCCAAAAACTCGTAAGAAGAGGGTGGGTTTAGAGCATAGGGTTTAGGGTTGAGGACTGGTTTAGGGTTCAGGGAATAGTGTCAGACTTAGCATTGTTCGTTCAAAAGGAGGCGCCCCCTCCATAACAAAACCCAAGAGCGCATGCTTGATAATGAAGGTTTCTCGAGCTCTAGGACTCTATAAGATTCGCTGACCTCTAGAACCCATATAAACCTCTCAACCCTGAACCCTAAACCCTCAACCCTAAACCCTGAACCCTGAACCCTAAACCCTAAACCTCTCAAACCTGCCCTACAGTTTTAAAAAGGAGCGCTGGATCCCGACCTCAAAGCGCGTTGCTTGACGAAGGATGTTGTCAATATCCTGTTCAGGGTGTTGCAGGGCTGTAGGGATCTTCTGCGGTCAGGGTTTAGGGATTTCAGGGTTCAGGGTTTAGGGACTTCGGGGTTTTTAGGGTTTAGGGAGCTTAGGGGACTTTAGGGTTTAGGCAACTCAGGGGACTTGGGGTTCAGGGTATGTAGGGCTTCGGGAAGCCCAGAGGCTTTATAAGAGTTTAAAGGCAGAAGGGATACCCAGGGAAATGAGCATGTAACACTCAACACATGTTGGGCTGCTGTTGCGACGGCCGCAAGTTGCATCTGCCAGAGACATATCAGAAGAGCTTGCCCCCAGACAATCAAGAGAGAAATGTCGGGGGCTAGAGGTTAGCATGGGATGCTGCGTGTGGCTACTTGTACAGAATCGATAGGATGCTACCCTAAACCCTAAACCCTCAACCTTAAACCCCTAAACCCTAAACTCTAAACCATGTGGGAGCGACGGGAGCGACCGGCTCATCCAAGGATTCAGGCCGGGCCGCGGCAGCCGGGCACAAGACCCCAAAAGTGGCATTGGTTTGCATTTTGTTCTCTGAGCTCTGAAGCCCTCGTTTAAGGTTTAGGGTTTAGGGTTTAGGTCTGAGCTCTGAAGCCCTCGTCCTCCTCCCCATCTGGGTAGTTGTCAAAATGATGGTCCCTTTTGGGGTACCCTAAATAAGAGGTGCCGTATTATAATATGGACCCAGAAAGGGGCCATAATTTTGACAACCAAACATCTAGCTCCGATAGTATGTCATCATCGTCCGGAGAGTCTGTGCCGGCTCCGTCAAGCTCTGCCGCCAAGGCTGCTTTCATGTGCCTGAGGTCCAAGCTGCAGCTATCACCGTGGTTCTTGTATCCTGTGTTGGTAGGATTGTTGCCTTTTCAGAAGGGTGCCGTACTATATTGGGGACCTACAAGGGGCCCTAATTTTGAGAACTACCGGTTTCTTTCCGCATCCAAGTTGCCGCAATCTTGAGTGATGCAGATTCCAAAGACGAGTAGCCCAAATCTCTGAGGTGACGAATAAACCAGATCATAATGATAGTAGTAGTATAATGACTAAGAACCATATTTACAAGAACATGATTGAAAGGGGCCTCAATAGTTAGAACGGGGTTCCGGGATGACCACACAACGATTGTAAAAAAACAGCAATACCAATACCCTAAACCCTAAACCCTAAACCCAATGATTCAGGGCCTAGCTCATTCGCAGTTCCCGAAACCCCACGAGACCCGCCACTTCAAACGGCAGCTTCCTCAACCCTACGCCTCGGACCTTCAGCAGCAAGCTTCAATTTCAACACTGCCATATCGGGACCTTGGCTTTGGGGTAGGGTATAGGGTTTAGGGTTTAGGGTTTAGGGTTAGGGTATAGTATTATGTTCTAGATGGTACCACTAAGCAATAAAAGGAGAGCCCTCAGCGTCGAAGATGTTTGTGCCAACTTCGCGAATCTTACACCCTACCCCGAACTACTACATCAGATGTGAACTGCCTCTGCTACACGCCTTTGAAAGGTTTCCAGACCTCCCACCTTTAGGGCTATATATATATATATATATATGTAGTGCAAGACTCCAAGTATGCACAAAGACTCCAGGAACACTCAAGCGCAGTAGATACAGAGTAGCTTCCTGAAAACCCCACCCTGTCAACCCTCATCTCGTAGAGCCCATGTGGGTGGTTGTCAAAATTATGGTCCCTTTTTGGGTATCCTAAATAATAGGTGCCGTACTATATCAGGGACCCAAAAAGGGACCATAATTTTGACAACCACCCATGTAGGATATACCCACACACCACTGCGGGCCTCCAGGATAGTTTCGCAGTCTCCGTGTAGGAGGTGGTCCTGTAGAAAACTGGAGATCCCACACTTTTCAGGGTTGAGCCGTCGGATCCGCAGTTGATTTGGATGTTGGGGCTGTGAAGCCTCATTTGCGAACCCCGGAAGAAACATACCTTCGACATAGGGCTCGCAACTTTGAGAACCGAGCCGACCGCACTTCGAAGCCAACGTCCCCAACACCCAAAACCTGCAACCTGTTGATCCAGTAAGGCATACAATAGTCGAATGAGCAGTCCTCCGTGAGTGGCCCAAATGTGTGGGAGCCCAGACGACCTTGACGGATGGGAACGAGGGCTTAGGGTTTAATGTCTGGACGATTACTACGAATTTGGTCCCTCAAGCTTATGTAGGATTCTCGGTTTCGGGGCTTGGGTGTGAAGTTAGCGATGGGGTTGAAGTCGTAGCTAGGGATTTAGATCTCTGGGTCTCGAGCTCGATTCAGGGACTCAGGTGTGACGATGGTACACGGGTTTCGGGCTTAGGGCCAAGGGATACGCGATACTCCTAGAACCCACCCAAACTGTCGGCGTGCAACTTTGGAGAACCGGCTGAGACTTGCAAACACTAGAATAGAACCCCAAACCCTGGCCCCGGCGCCCTTGCTATAACCCCTAAACCCTAAACCCTAAACCCTGAACCCTAAACCCTAAACCAAAACCCTAAACCCTAAACCCTAAACCCTAAACCCTAAACCCTGGGTCCCCTGGCGAACCCTAAGCCTTACTTAAAGGATCATGGGACTTAGTAAGTAGGGTTATAACTAAAGTAACTATACTTATAACCCCAATTAGTGGATTTTATAACCTTACTTACTAAGTCCCATGATCCTCCAAGTACAACCCTTCCAACATCCAAAGCTCCAAACTGCCTCAGCACCTCAGCTTCCCCAATCACAGAAACAAAAGGTTAAAGTTTCCGATTGCTACTAAACTAAACCCTAAACCCTAAACCCTAAATCCCTAAACCCTAAATTTAAAGGTCGGATGTTGGGGAGCTCAGGCCCCTCACCCCTGCATCCCAAAACACGAGCGACATACTCGAACCCCCCAAAAAAATGCCGGTTTAGGGTTTAGGGTTTAGGGTTTAGGGAAGCCCGCAAAACATAAACGCTAAGCCCTAGACCGTCTCAGAACATCTAAGCCCGCAAAACATAAGCGCTAAACCTTCCTAAAAATCCCCAAGCCCGCAAAGCATGCTTCATAGCCTCCTCTCCCCCGCTTGCTGGAGTCCTGGCCCCCCCAAAACCCTCGAACATGAAACTCCAACGCCCTGAGCCCTTAGGGTTTAGGGTTTAGGGGCGACCCCTAGGGCCCAACGACCATTATGGGTTTAGGGTGTACCTGAACCCTAAAGAACTTATATACCTTTTTAAGGCTCCCTGTTATGATTTCTTTATATAAGTCCCTAGAAAGGTAAGTCATTTGGGGTAAGGTTAGGGTTTAGGGGTTTAGGGTTGAATCTATTATAAGCTCTTGGGCTACTTTGAGCCCTAGTCTGGATTAGGCATCCCAGTGCTATGTCCCTCACACACACACATCAAAAGCACCTAAAACTTCATTACAACCCTAAGAGAACCCTCAACCCTAAACCCTAAACCCTGAAGCCTAAACCCTGAACCCTAAACCCTAAACCCTAAACCCTAAACCCTCAAAACCCTAAACCCTAAACCCTCAAAATCCTAAACCCTAAACCCTCACAATCCTAAACCCAAACCCCTAAACCCCTAAACCCTAAACCCTAAACCCCTAAACCCTAAACCCTAAACTCCTAAACCCTCAATCCTAAACCCTCACAATCCTAAACCCTAAACCCTAAACCCTCGAAACCCTAAACCCTAAATCCCTCGAAACCCTAAACCCCAAACCCTAAACCCTAAACCCTCAAAAAACTACACCCTAAACCCTCAAAATCCTAAACCCCAAACCCTAAACCCTCAAAAAACCACACCCTAAACCCTAAACCCTAACCCCTAATCCCTAAACCCTCAACCGAAATCCGATCCAAACCTCGGAGGAGGGGCCCGGGCTTCGGATGGTGCCGTGCAGGGAGGCGAGCTCTTCGCGCAGGCCTTCGGGGCCACTTCTTAGGGTTTAGGGTTTAGGGTTTAGGGTTTAGGGTTCAGGGTTTAGGGTTTAGGGTTTAGGGTTTAGGGTTCAGGGTTGAGGGTGTAGGGTGCA